CAGTAACCACATTTTATTTTTATTTTATTTTTATTTATTTTCCCTCCCTGGCTCTTTCCTCCCTCTCTCTCCCTTACTCTTCCTCTTCCTCACTTCCCCTCCCTCTTCCTAGTAACCAGATTTTAAAAAACTGGTGAAAGTTTTATATTTAACCAATATATCCAAAATATTACCATTTTAATAGGTAATCAACATAGAATACTACTAATGAGACATTTTATATTTTCTTTTGAACTAATCTGAAATCTAGTGCATATTTTACATTTACAGTACATTTCAGTTTGGACACTAAATTGTCATTGGAAATATTTGATTGGTATTTAGCATTATTAAAATTTATGTTTGAGGGGCGCCTGGGTGGCTCAGTGGGTTAAAGCCTCTGCCTTCAGCTCAGGTCATGATCTCAGGATCCTGGGATCGAGCCCCGCATCAGGCTCTCTGCTCAGCGGGGAGCATGCTTCCTCCTCTCTCTCTCTCTCTCTCTCTCTGCCTGCCTCTCTGACTACTTGTAATCTCTATCAAATAAATAAATAAAATCTTTTAAAAAAATTTATGTTTGAGTATGTTCACAATACTCATGTTCCATGCATACTTAAAAGTTTTCCAATAACTGAAACAAGTATTAAATTTTTTCAATAGACTTTACTTTTTAGGGAAGTTTCAGGTTCACAGCTAAATTAAGTAGAAAGTAGAGAATCCCCACATACCCCATTCCTGCATACGCGTGTGTATATGTGCACGCACACACAGCTTCCTGCAGCAGTGTAAAATTATTTGTTAAGATTGATAAACCAACGACTGTACACATTATCAACCAAAGTCAGTTCACATTAAGATTCATATTTGGTATTGTAAATTCTATGTGGGTTTGGACAAATGTATAATGATGTGTATCTACCATTATAGTATGCAGAATAGTTTAACTGTCCTAAAAATCCCATGTGTTCCACTTACTCCTTCCTTACCCCTACCCTGGCAGCTACTGACCTTTTTACTGTCTCTGTAGTTTTATCTTTTTCAGAATATCTCATGATTATAATCATACAGCATATAGCCTTTTCAGATTGGCTTTTTCCACTGAGTAATATGCATTTAAGATTTCTTAAAATATGCATTTATGCATATGCATATTTTAAGTATATGCATATTTAAGCATATGCATATGCATAGATGCATTAAGATTTCCTTTTAGCTGATTACTATTCCATTGTATGGATATATCACAGTTTACCTATTTACCTATTGAAGGACATCTTGGGTGATCCAAGTTTTGGCAGTTATGAATAAAGTTGCTATAGACATTCATGTGTAGGTATTTGTGTGGACATAAGTTCAACTTCTTTGGGGAAATACCAACAAGCAATTCTTTTTATTGTTGTAAAATACACATAAAGTAAAATTTATTATTGTACATTTACATGTAAAATATACAATTCAATGGCATTAAGTACATTGACAATATTATGTAACCCTTGCCATTAACTAGTTCTAGAACTGTTTCATTATCCCAAATGGAAGCTCTCTTAATTATGCAGGTATTAATTTAAAGTTTAAGCTGATTAGGGGCGCCTGGGTGGCTCAGTGGGTTAGGGCCTCTGCCCTCGGCTCGGGTCATGATCCCGGGGTTCTGGGAACAAGCCCCGCATCAGGCTCTCTGCTCAGCAGGGAGCCTGCTTCCCTTCCTCTCTCTCTCTGCCTGCCTCTCTGTCTACTTGTAATCTCTGTCTGTCAATTAAATAAATAAAATAAATAAAATCTTAAAGTTTAAGCTGATTAAAATGAAATAAAATTAAAAATTGATTTCTACAGTCACACTGCCACATTTCAAGTGCTCAGTACCCACACATGGCTTGTGGCTAGGGGCTGTTGAATAGCACAGGTCTAGGGGAAGAGAATTAGAAGCAGAGAAACAATAAATACAAAATCCTTGATACAGGAATATATTTTTTCAAAGAACAGTTAGTTGGACGGTATGATGGGAATCCAAATAGCAAGAGGTAGGGAATATAGTAAGGTAGCCAAGAGTGAGCTAATGAAGGGCTTCATGTGTCATAATAAAGATTTTAGATTTTAAGGGTGATGGAAAATTTATAAAGAGGTTTAAAATGATCAGTTTGGGTATGTGTTATACTGAAGGAGGTTTAAGAACGGAACAGGAAGACTTAGAGTATTTCAGGTCAGAGATGATGGTCCTTGACCTAGGGAGATGGCTGGGGTGATAAGTGTTTGGATTCAAGACATATTTTCAAGGTTTAGTTTATTGCACTTAGAAAGCATGAAATATGAAAAAGAAACTGCATTCTATAAGGTGGAAAATATTAAGAGAGAAGCAGGTTTGAGAGAAAAAAGCTTAGTTTTGACGATGTTATGTTTTACTTGATCATTGCCATCAAGTCATCGGAATATTAAAGCAAAATGGCAGTTCTGATATTTCAATATTTATTATGAGTATTACTTCCTTACTGAGTTGTAGTAAGAGTAATATAATTTATCTCAGAGAGAATTAATATAGGAGTGGATTGTGAAGTACATATGCCTTATATATCAGATAAATGGTAAATATAGCCCATATACTGTGAAATAAGGGTCTCTCTGAAGGATTCTGTTGAATATCCAAGATACTTCTATCACATTGCTTAGTAAACATCGTATTTCATTAATGTTTTCATATAGCAATAGTTACATATAGTTTAGAAAGGATGAATGTCACTAGGTTTTTGCATTAATTTTTTCCCCTATGGCTACCACTTTGCATCTTAATACACTCCAGATTTTTTTTTAAAGTTCATATTTTTAAACCTTTATTTTATTCTAAAATCTTGGACAAGATTTTTACTGAAGCTTAATGACAATACAGATAAGGAGCAACGAAAACACTCTGTTAAGTGTTTCCCATAAATCTCATTTGATCTTCACAACAATCCACTTAGATATTGCAGAAAAGTGTCTAGTAGAGACTATTAGATGTAAATAAAGGTGAAAATCAGAACATAATACAGTTATCCTCTGTGAAAAAATGCTGTTAAAATGTTAAATAAATTGCAAAGGCATTTAGACTTGCTACCAGCAGCCTTACTAAACTTAACATCTAACAATAACAACATTGCCACAGGAGACAGTTGGATATGGTGTAATGAGCAGAAGGAGAGCTTGACTCCTGATTGTGTTTCTTAACTAGTGGATTATTTTTTTGTATAGGCATCTGTTTTTCCTTTTTTCTCCCCTATCCCCACCATCAAAAAATTTCAATGGTTTCAGCTGAAGAGTTGGGGGACTAATATCACCTATTCTACTTATTTCATAGGGTTGTTGGGAAAATCAAATTGCATATAAAAGCATTTTATAAATTGCATAATTAAGTTTTAGGAGAGAACACTGGGAAGTTACTACTACTGGCAACATTTTTTTTTCCAGAAATATTTCCAATTTTTATCTAATTTAAAAATTATTTTGGTAATCAATTGGGTAATTGTTTAGTCTGTATTCTATTGCTTTCCATGATACAGACTGGATAATCAGTAACTGTTGATTTCCAATTAGTTTTTCAGTAACCTATTATTTTGTGGACTAATACCAGTTCTGCACGCTGTTACACCACGGGCTGTCAATCAATGTCTCATTCAGACCATTCTTGTATTAGGAAGATACCGGGTGCAAATGAACTCTGGATCTGCAGTACATAAAGCTTTCAGGAGACAACCCACCTGCTCCACACCTTGAAACAAACAACCAGATTCACAAGGGTTCTCTGCTTACCTTTGTCTCATCTCTCTCCACTATCTTCCCCTCAACTCCTGTATTCCTGGTGCACAGAACTATATCCCTAACGGGTCAATACAATCTCATTTTTGGATTTTTCCATCTGTTTCCATCCGACACCCTTCCTTTGTAACATCAAATCCTCATGTCATCTCATGAAAGCCCTCCCAGAACCCCAGTTGTACGCCTGTCAAAATTCTTGTGGTCATTCTAGCACATTGTATTTAAATTGTTTACATGTCTCTCTCCTTCAATAGACTGTGAACTCTGGGAAGGCAGGGTCCGTGTCTGCCTTGTTGTATCCCCCGCATCTAGTATGGTCCTCATACTGTTTTTTCAATAAATATTTCTTGATTGAATAATGTGAATGGCCCGGAGTTTTAGTAAACAGATGATACTCTTCCAGCCACTACGCTTGGTATTCTGATACTCCACTAGGGCTGGACGCTTGGATTTACACATTTTCACCCGGTGAGGCTGACGGTCTTTAGACCCAGGCATGCAGGTAGGAACCCATTTGTCTGAAGGATCAGACTTCTTGGCAGAACCACCGTCGACATCGTTTGAAGTCGTATGACAGATCCACAGGCGACTGCAATGCTCTCTAGGCAGAGAGCTGGAAAGAGGACCTTAAAGGGCCACTGGGATCCCTGGAAAGATGGAAGGATTCATCTCACCACGGCCTCGGGCAGCGCTCTCTGCACACTACCTTCTCCTGCGCGCCAAGGCGTTAGTCCCACCCCGTCCCACTTGGCCCCACCCACCTAGCGCGCCTGAGTTACTAAACCCTAGCCGCCAGGGTGAGCGACGCGTTCCTAAGCCCCGCCTCCGGGGCGAGGGCGCGCTCCCCCTCCCACCTGCCTAAGCAGTTCCGTTAGCCGCGGGAGGAAAAACCGTCCTTCGGATCCCCGCCTCTTCACTCCCAACGCTTTACTCCCTACTCCCCCTGCAATCACTACACAACCAGCTACGGAGGCCCCTAAAGTACAAATAACCCCCAGGCCCTGGCGTATCCTGATTGGTTTTGTCCTTGTTCCTCCATTCGGTCCCAAGGGCCTGCGTTCAATTTTTGTCGGGAATCTGGCTTGTGAGCGTCTTCTGGCGGCAGGAACTCCAACGCTCTTTACGGAAGTAAAAGTTGTTTGTTTTTTGTTGTGGTTTTTTTTGTTGTTGTTGTTTTTTTTTTTTTGCCTCTGAGGCCTCCCGCATTCCTTCCCTCCCACCACGCGGAATTGTGGCGGGAGGGGGAGGAGGAAGTCAAGGCGCCTGCGCGGAGAGGCCGCTTTCCATCCGGGTCTCTGTCCGTGCGGTGCAGCAGGTCGGTAGGCGGGAAATGGCGACTGGCTGAAGGAGCTGGTTCTGTTGCTGCTGCGGGCTAAGCGGGAAAGACACCACACATTGCGCAGTCGGGACCATCGCCGGAGCCTGAGGACACTTCTCTGTCGTCACAGTTAGGTAATCCCCCTCGTCCAGACACTGCCGTTGCTTCCAACCTTAGTCCTCCTCCTCTTCCAGGGCCGTCTGCCGGGGTCTCCTCCCCTTCTTAACCCGGTTCTCCAGCGGCTCCGGTGCCTTGGTAGGCATGCACTATTGGCGCCTTGTAAGTGCGCCTTGTGGAGCCGCTCTTCTCTGGACTTTCCCCTGGGAACAGAAAGGGAGCTCACTTCCCGCCAGCTTCAGCTCCCAGGCTGCGGCCTGTGTTGTGATTTCTGGGGTTAGATTTCACTTTGCTACCCACCCCCACCCCGATCTCACGTTCCTAGTCCCAAACCCTGTGGTCCCTCCCGGTAATTGGGTTAGATCAGCTTTTCTAACCTTGGCCCACCTAATGTTTTTGATATTTCATTCTTTCTAGTAGGGCGCTTTTAGGGGGGCGTTGCTCTTTCTCAGTTTTTATAAACATCTTTTAAGGATCTGGAATTAGAAATTTCATCAAGTTCTATTATCTTCTGTACTGATAAAATGTTGAGTTGACATTGTTACTTTCTCGAATCGAGAGTGGTAATAAAGGACAGCCCATGTGGAAGGCCTGTGGTTTCTGTAGTGGTCAATTAAGGGTGAATGTTATCGGCCGTAGTATTCGACGCTTTCTTTGGGTGTTAAGTGACAATGTGGATGTTTACTTTTTCATTCTTGACTAGAATTCTGTGGTAAATAATTGCATAAGTAAATCGTGTTTATTTACTTCTCACCCTAGTGGTGGCTGGATGTGTGAATGATGTTAAGCACTTTAGAGTACCTTAGGGAAGCCTAAAGAGATACTGCTCGTAAACTGCGCTAAGATCCTGAAATGAAATGTACTTAGTAAATGTTCCTCCAAGGCAAGGATTTATTTTTCTAGTGCTAATAAAGCGGTACCATGATTACTGCCCAATATGGGTATACAAATTAGTGGCTTAAATGATAGATTTATCTTAGTAGTTTTCAGATTGTAGATTTCTTTATATACAGTTTCCCCATTCTTTGCCAAGTTTTTAATTTTCGTTTGTTGTCCAAATGTAATCCTTATAAAAGCAAGGAAACTGCTAGTTAAAGCTAGTTTTATACCCCCCCCCTTTTTTTAACCTTGCAGACCAGTTGTCCTAAAGAGAAGAAATGTGGAGGCTGTTGGTGTTTTCAGAATTTGTTTTCCATCTTGCTGAATTTGGGGCATTGATAGTTTTTTTTTTCCCCCTTTAACTAGTCAAATTAAATTTTTAAAAATATGGTTCATGTTACACATCAGTCGACGTTTATAACTCAAAGGTTTTCAGTTCTCTAGGTTCAGTTTAGAAGACTTCACTAATGTTAGCATACTGGGGTTAAATTTCAGTGATAAACAAGAGCATGCCAACTTCATTATAGTTGTCATTTGGTAGATTCCCCCCCAAGGTCATAAAGAAAGTCAAGGCAAAAGTAGCTCTTAGGTGAAGCAGTCTTTTAGGATTGACTTGAACCTCATATTTGTCTTCTAAGACCAAAAGAATAGGGGATGGGAAGTGAAGGTGAGGGCGTATTGAATACTTGCTGAGCCTATTTGTTTAAAGAACAGGGCCAAATATGTGACTTAAAGTAATGTAAATTATTGGACGGGTGTAGGTTTTATCTCTATTTTAATGACCTTTTTGGGTAGTTTATAAAGCACCGTTTTAAGTAAAATTTGATTTATAGATAGCTGAGTTAAGGAAATAGATTTTGTAATTGTAAATAGATAGTAAATCTATTAAATAGATTAAATAGATTGTAAATTGTAAATAGATTTTGTCTTCAAGAATTCTCCCAAATTGTTATAATTCTGCATTCCTTCAGTACCTGTGCTCTTTTCATACTCTTCTCAGTATGGGTTGAAAGGTTGTAAGAGCTCTAAGTGGTGTAGTCCTTAATCTCTGTGGACTTGTAGCTGTATAGAAATTCCAAATAGGATTGTATAGAAAAATAGGATTGGTATGTTTTATAATATTCTACATAATGTCTCCAGCATTTCATTTGAGCTAGTAATGGTATTCTTTTTCCACTGTTAAGAAATTAAGAATTGGGGAAATTTTTTTTCTCCCAAATTTATTTAACTATTCTCATGTTTGAGATTTCTGGTCTAGAGGTTTCTTCACAAGATTATTGCAGAACAAAATCCATACAGTTCTGGTTTTAAAAAAATAACTTGGACCTGTTGTTCAGAAAGATGTACTAAGCTCTAGACTTGTAACTATAGAATTAATTGCAGATTGAATGGAATGGTATTAAATTATCTCGGTCATAGGAGACTGTACTTTGGATTAATGCAATAAAGAATAAAGTGGTTTGTTAGAATTTGAAGTAAACAGTCTGTAATTATATTTGAAACTTACCAAGCTGTTGTGAAAAGCATAAAGCAAAAAGACACTAAGTCATAAATATCAAATGTTCTGAGAAGGTCTCATATATGGTATGCTAAAGTAATTATTCTGGGTAGGTTAAAAAGTTATCTGACCATTTTAGGGGCACCTGCTTGACCCAGTTGATAGAGCATGCAACTCTTGATCTTGAGGTTGTGAGTTCAAGCTCCACATTAGAGGTATATAGAGATTACTTAAAATTTTTTAAAAATTTAAAAAAATTACCTGACTACTTTAACTGGATTAAATACAAAGGGTCATTTGCTCTGCTTTGAAAATGAGAAGATTTAACAGATATAGGACTTATGATAAAACCATACTGTTGTAGTTTTAGTTTTCACTTATTTGACATTTCCCATGAGGTATATATCTAAGCCAGACGTATATTCAGTACTGGTTGTATAGGACTACATTAATTTTTAGTTTAAACTGTGTTAAATTGTAACTGGATCTACATTACAGAGAGGTAGATTATGTGGTGGACTGTAGTATGAGAATTGCCAATGCCAAACTTTGTGTCCTGTGTGTTATGGAATTCTTTTTAAAAGGATCTGTTTAAAATCATAAATTCTCTGGAAGAGAAACTTTAAGCTATTATCTTTTATTGGCAATATTATCCCATATTAGTTCATCAAATAAACTTGCTGATACCACAAACAGGTGAGCGTTCAGAGGCAGTGGCATGTAGAAGTAACCTTTTAGGTACTCACTGATCAGGAGAGGTGTGGCATATAGGAACACTGTACAGCAGAGAAAGGCATGGTGGGGGTTAAGTTGTAGTGAGAAGCTTGGGTTTCTTGGGGTCCTTTAGCGGTCTTGTGAATCTGACAGTAATGAGGGGTGAGACTAAGTGTGGTCTAAAGAAGAATGGTAGAACCGTAAAGACAAATAGGCTTGTAGGTTTGGCCAGCCCTTTTGTTTGTTACCTTCATCTGCAGGTCCCCCAGTTAGTATGGTATTTTTAGAAGAGTGAAGGGAAACTCTGGTATGCCACTAAAAAAAATAGTGTTGTAAAATTTTTACAAAATGAGTCTTTTAACTTTATCATAAGGTTACTATAGGCCATTTGAATATATTTTGGATCCCTTATTTTATGGTATTCATAAACTCTCCTGTATTAATTTAGGGAGATTGTAGGAAAGGAAGTATGTCTAGATTAAACATGAATCATCAGCAGTACTTTTACTTGAGGTTCTAGCAATCAGGTTTTTGTAATAGCTGTAATAATTTTAGTACAAGGAAATGTGTTTACTACTTTAAAGAAACATAAAACTGTGCTATTAGAAGGCTCTTAAATACTTCAGAAATAATTGAGATTAATATTTAGTAATAGTTGCTTATATAGTGTAGGAAGAATTTTTTTTCTTTGGACTAAGTACTTCCATATCAAGAAATTCTTCTGGGGCGGGGAGCTCCTGAGTGACTCAGTTGGTTAAGGGTCTTTCTGCCTTTGAAGCAGGTCCTGATCCCAGGGTCCTTGCTCCTTGCTCAGCAGGGAGTCTGTTTCTCCCTTTGCCCCTCCCTCTGCTCATGCATCGAGCTCTCTCTCTCTCTCTCCAATAAATAAAATCTTTAAAACAAATTTTTTGGGAAGTAAAAAAGCAGAGCTGTGGCTAAAAGTAAATAAAGGGAAGATTAAGACCCTGTTAGCAGCATAACCTGATATTTTAAGTTTCTCATGTCGCCCAGTTTAAGTAATCTTTAAGTAGGAATTTAAAAGTATGCCTTATTTTTTTTTAAAGATTTTATTTATTTATTTGAGAGAGCATGCGTGAGCAGGGTATGGGGGAGGGCAGGAGGAGAGGGAGAAGCAGATGGGGGCTCAGTCCCTGGACCCTGGGTTCATTACCTGAGCTGAAGGTAGACACTTAACCAACTGAGCCACCCAGGTGCCCTGAGTATATTACTTGTTAAAAATATCCAGAACATGTAAGTATCTTTTTAGTTGAGAAAAAAACTATGATTATTTATTTTAGTAATAATTGCTTTCTTCCTGGTATTCCCCAAATATGTATGATTAACCTCTCACTGATACTACAAGTGCCTGCTTTAGTGTATTTTGTTAAATAAAATAATTATACAATCCTTTAATTTTCTGAGATACTGATAAAAATTATTTGAAAAATATTTACAATCACATTTCAAATAATTATGCACGTTTTCCTTATTGGGAAATAAGGAAATATACATTTTTATTTGTTTAGTCACAGCAAACAAAAGGTATTTCTGTTAGAGAATTACGATTATACCTTGCCATTGACTAGTTATTTATTTATTTACTTTTAAAGATTTTTATTTTTAAGTAATCTGTGTCCCCAATGTGGGACTCGAACTCATGACCCCAAGATCAAGAGTTCCATGCTCTGCCGACCCAGCCGGATGCCCCTATTAGTGATTTAAATAGAAATTCACTCTGGGTGCCTGGGTAGCTTCTATTCACATAGAATATGTGACTCTTGATCTTGGGGTTGTGAGTTCAAGTCCCATGTTGGGGGTAGAGTTTACTTTAAAAAAAAAGTTCACCCTTCATAGAGCTTGTCTTTAGTTTCTTTCCATCAAATTGACTAGTTTTTATGTGGTAGGTAGTATAAGAATAGTAGGGAT